GATATCGACGTCCCCGTCACAGGCTAAAGACCCACGCAAGCAAGAGACGACAAACGGATCTTGTGTTTATTTTCAAGAAAGTTGTAATTTTTATTTCTTTGTTGTTTGAATTCATTTGTAACGTTTGAAGTTTTAATGAAATCAATAATGAAGGCAACTTTCGACGAAAACACCAACGCCGATCCTCCTCCAGAAAAGAACGGCCCACAGAATCCGCCATCTCATCTCGTCGTCCCAATATTTCCTCTCCTATGAAGTGTCTCCAACTGCCATGAGCTCGGCACCAATGTAAGAAAGAACCCCTACTAGAACTAGTACGACGGGTAACCTTTCTGCTCATACACCTCTTCCAACTGTTGCAGACTACTAGGGCTTCATACAAACGGGACTTGGTTGAAACCCATAAATGCCTAGTATAATCCTCAACATAGGAAACAAAATAATGATTACCTCCCAATGATGTCTCTATGGAAGGCCCCTAATGCCCGACTGAACACCTCCTAAAAACCACTCGATCGATGGATAGAAGTGCCAAACTCCACCTCGGTCTTCTCGCTCATCCCACTGTGCTCAAAGGACTTCAATTTACAGGTCATAGCACTCCTCAACAATCTATGCACGGCATAACCAATAATACACCCCAGCACCAAACAATGCCACAGTCTAGCCAAAGAAGTCGTCAGTACTCTATCAATCACCATGCTCCAAAGCAGTTAATACAAGTTACTCCTCCTGACGCCCTTCATCAAAATCATGGACCCCAATGTGACCTTCAAGTGTGCATCCGTCAAGGTCACCCTATAGCCTGCTGCCTCCAATATCCCAAGTGAAATGATGTTCTTCCTCAGTTGAGGAACGAACCTCACATCAACCAACTCCCGAATCATCCCATCACTCGTCCGAATCTAAATGGTACCAATACCACTAATAGGGTATCTGTGATCATTACCCATAAGAACAACATCCCCTCTTTCTAACTCCTGAAAGCTAGAGAACCAATCTCTCCTAGGGCATATGTGGTAAGTAGTACCTGAATCCAACATCCACTCGGTGGAGTCGGCAACACCAACTGACGGAAGAGCTGGGTATGAATAGCCCGAAGAATCTGAATCTGAAATGTCGCCACTAGCCTTGGTAACATTCACCTCTTAAGTTTGTATAGCTTTCCCCTTATTCTTCCCGGCTTGTAATTTTGGGCATTCGGCTTTTCAATGTCCATCCTCTTTATAAAAGGCACACTGATTCCTACCAACTACGGGATGCCCCCTCTAGACTACGACCTCCTACCACGGTTTGGACTTCTAGCTCTTGTAACCAATGCCCCTGCTACCGGCTCAATGGAAGTCTCCTTGTCCTTCTTACAAAGTTGATAATTCACAAGAGCCGCGGTGACCTCACTATATGAAAGAGATGCCTTCCTATTAATAAGAGTGAGGACGAAGGTCTCATATTTCTTGTCGGGCACGGAACTCAACAATAACAACGCCTTATCCTCATCTTCAACAATGACATCTATATTCGCCAAATCTACAAGTAGCTTTGTGTAGTGGTTCATGTGATCACTAATGGATGTCCCCTTCTTCAATTGGAAGCGATAAAGCCTCATCTTCAAATGCAAGCGATTTTCAACGCTCTTCATCAAATACTTGCCCTCTAGGACCTCCCAAAATCTTCTTTGCAGAAGTCTCATTTCATCACATCATATTTTAGATCTTGAGTGAGACAAGACCTAATCACACCACACGTCGTTCTATTCATTTTCTTCCAAACCTTCTCATCAACGTCGGCCGGTTTCCCGTCCAACTCCAACGTATCTTCCAAATTTTGCGCATTTAGCGCATCCATGACTTCGTATCTTCAAAGTCCAAAATTATTTGTGTCATCGAACTTCTCCACATCTATCTTCATAGAATGGACATTCAAACTTTGGATGGTCTTCACACTAGAAGAACCCTCCCCACTTTTATCTTTCCCGGTCATATATCTCAAAGCACACAAACAATTGCGGAACAAACAAGAAATAGATCCAACTTGAAAAAAATAGAAACTTTACCACAAAGATCTCATCTTTATCACCAATCGAAGCTCTAGATGAACTTCCCAACTGATCTACACCTCCAAAAAGTCCAAGTGTTGCCCTGAGCTCTGATACCACTTGTTGGGAAAAACCCTATGTGCCGAGATCCAACCAAATAGCCGAGAGAGATAAACAACACACCAAAGATAGCACAAACACAAAATACACCAGTTTTAACGTGGTTCGGCGAGATGCCTACGTTCACGGGACAAGGAAGGGGGAGTTTTCACTATTAGAAATCAAAGGGATACAACTAGGGTTACAAATCTCATAAAAAACCCTCCACAAATCATACTTGATCTCTCCAAATGCTCCTACAATAGAAGCCCAACAAAACCCCTCTTTCTTCAGCTCAAAATCATTGCTTACAAATCCTAGAAACGAGTTATGGGTATTTATACAACTCCCAAACGAAACGGGTCTGAAACCCAGATTCTGCCCACGGTCGACCACGATGGCATTGCGGTCGATCGCCACGGTCGATCGCCACGGTCGACCGCACCAAATCCAGAACAGGTCCCAAAGTCCAGAGAAAACCGCGGTCGACCGCTAAAGATCCAAATTGCACATTGAGGTCTGTGCACGAACGTGGTCGATCGCCAAAACCTCACGGTCATCGCAAAAACCTCGCGGTCGACCGCCAGCCTGCCAAACGTCTATTATGAGCCCATTAACTGCCAATCCTACATTAGTCCCCTCTCCCTCTTCTCAAATTTCTACAAATTAACTTTGATATGAAAGTTCAAAGCAGAATTAATGCACTTCGACACTGCACACACACGCACACACGCGCACACACACATACACACACACATACACACACTATTACATAAAAAAATGATGATTATTTGGCTACAAATGAATAGAGAATTAGGAAGAAATAGTGTCACTTTTAAAACTTTAGGGGAATTTTCTGTAAATCATGCAAACCTGAGGAGAGTTTTCCGTAATTTACCCTAAAAATAATAATTAGTTTGTTATGATAGTACTAAATTTTGATTATTGCATATGAAATTTAAAACTTGAGAAAAAAGTTAATTTTTTCATCTCTAGAAAAATATTTGTTTTTCAATGGATAACTATTTGAATCCAAATGGGTAAATAATGTTACAAATTCAGGCCAAACTATCTAAAAATTCCATGGAAAAAATGGATATATCCTGATTTTCAACACAAATTTGAATTGAATTATTTTGTTTTGTTGCCTTTTCCCTTTCTTTTTTTAATTTTTGGCTAAATAGCTTTTAAATACCTTATTGTTTCACTACCTTAACATTTATACCCTCAATTGTATTTCATAATATTTATATACTTTGAGTTGCTCAAAATTGATAAATTAATACTCTTTGTTTTGTAAACAGGAAAAAAAATTTACCTGAAAGTTAACCATATAACATTCAAATGCTAATTTTATAACTTTCTATATATAAAGTTGCTGAATTAATTGTTAAATCTTTTTAATTCTTTTTTAAAATAAAAATATGATGCATTTAAATTAGAATTGGGATAGATTTAATAGTAATTTTATAAATTAATGATTAAAAACCTCTAAAATTAATATATAAAAATCATAAAAGAATTTTTAGATGAAAATTACATGTTTGCATAATAAATAATATTAACATGCTAATTTTGAACAACTCTCAAGCTATATAAATGCTGTGAAATATGTACATTAGTGCTACAAAGTGAAACTATAAGGCATTCAGGTGCTATTCAGCTTTAATTTTTAGCACAAATAAGGAACATGGTCAGCTCCATGAGTAGTATAGCGGGCCCCACTTGAACCTCTTTACGATGAAAAGACAACCGTTTGCAAAATTCAATGTATGTAATATATTTCTCATCTACTCGCGTGTATAGTGGAGAACCCAAAATTCACTATAACATTATCACTGTAGCAAATAAGATTTAATAATACAGTAATTTAAAAAAAAAATTGTTGTATCACATAGGAATATTGCATTATTTTAAAAATTTGTAGCGACAGTGGGAACTATAGCAATCCAAAAAATATTACTGTAACATCTATAAATTATTAGGATTACTGTAAAAAAAAGGAAAATTTGCTTCAAGGCCTCAAATTCATATTTTCAATGTGCCTTAGCCCCCCCAACTTTCAAACATGTGCTGCAGCCCCCCGTTTTTGAAAAAATTATTAAAAACCCCTCTCCCCAAGTTCCCATGCAAACTCCATACACAATCCCCATTTTACCCTCCCGCTGCACCTCCCCCGCCTCCCTCCCCCGTCTCTCTCTCCCGCTGCACCTCCCTCCTCCTCCTTCGGTCACCCTTTGCCCCTTTCCCCGCTTCGTCGCCGGCGTCGTTCCGAGGAACTTCGCATGGGCACATTAATATTAACTCTTGTCTATAACATGTTAACTCTTTTCTGTAACATATTAACTCTTTTCTGTAACATGTTAACTCTTACAGCTAACATGTTAGCAGTAAGAGTTAACATATTATCTGTTAGAGTTAACATGTTAGCTGTAAGAATTAACATGTTATCTGTAAGAGTTAACATGTTACAGAAAAGTTAACATGTTAGCTGTAAGAATTAACATGTTATCTGTAAGAGTTAACATGTTACAGAAAAAGTTAACATTTTACAGAAAAGAGTTAACATGTTACAGAAAAGAGTTAACATGTTACAGAAAAGAGTTAACATCCACTAACATAAGAAAGAGAAGGGTAAATTCGGGATTTAAGTCAGCTGATATGTCTAATCATGAGCTGTCATGTCTAATCAACTGTTGAAATGAGCTGGAATCATGATGGAGGAGTGATGGAGGGGCTTAGACATATTTTTTTCAAAAGGAGGGGCTAAAGAACATTAAAAAAATAGGGGGGCTGGGGTACATTAAAAATATAAATTTAGGGTCTAGAAGTAATTTTTCCAAAAAAAATGATACCATGTCCACGACTAGTTTATTATATAATCCAAAAAAACAAGCTCGCATTTTTCTCTCTCTCGGACGGGAAAAAAAACTCACCGTCTCTCTCCAACATGTATTGGCTCCATTATAAGCGTGTTGAATCCTTGTGAAATCCTTCACTCTATTTTTTTCTTTTGAAATTTTCATAACATAGTTGATTCTTGAGTCCAGGTGAGCTCTGCTTTCATGAGTGTGATTTTTTTTTTTGTGATTAGAACTCTTTTATGCATTTGTTTGGGTTTTCCCCCAAAATTTCATGCTTCGTCAAAAATAGTTATTTGCTTGGCTTGAAATGGCCTTCTGGGTTGGATTGTTTACTCCCATTTCGTTGCCCAGTTTGGCTTTTTTTTCTTTTTGGAGTGTGTAAGTGTTTGGATTTTTTTTTTGGGAAGAACTTGTGCCATTTTTAGGATTCTTTTTCCAAATTACATAGTATGTTTTTTAATACCATTGTTTTAGATATTGGAGTTGGTGAATTCTTTTTCGAAGTATGATATGTTCTTAGCTCATTTTACTTGACGCAAACACAATATGTTGTTTTAATGCACTGAGACGTTTTAAGATCAATTATAAAGAATTTTTCTTTTCTTTCTTTTTTCCTTTTTCGTTTTTTTTTTTAGTTTTAAACTCTTTGGACTTGAGGGCTGTGAAAATTTTTGTTGGTTTAAGTGGAATATGCAACTATGTGATGATGCTTTCTGGATATTTGTACTTCTGTTTATATCATCTAATCATTTTTTGTGGTGTTTGCAGTTGATGTAATTTCTCTAATATGACATCACAAAGCTACATTCCCATTGAGCACGAAGCCAATGAAGATCATGGGATAAGTGTGCTTAACCAAAAGGTAGTTTTGGTAGCTTAATAGTCTGCAAAGTTGTTAAATAGAAAATATTCACTAGTATTTTAATATCTTTGTAAATGTAGTAGGCTTAAGATGCTTGATTTTGAGGACTCTTGATGAGTTGAGTCTAGATATTTTGGTGGTAATAATTTGGCCAGAAAGACTAATCCGATATTTTAGCTTCAATTTTTTTTCCCTTCTAATTTTTGAATACATTAATAAGGATCACATGTTTCTTAGTAATTTTTTGGGTCATTTCCTTCAATTTTTGCTAGCACTAGTTATTCCTTGTTTAAATCCACGTAATACTGCTTAGCTATGAAAACGTGGAGATATTACAGGTCAATTGATCAGCTTCTCTATTTGTAGGAAGCCAATAGTATTCAGCTGCATCTGTAATTAAATTGATCTGAAAGTGCCTTTATTCTTAAAATGGTAACATAAGCAACCTTAAGAATCAAGCCCAAGGAGAGATGTTTCTTATCTATGCAACCACGACAGTGAAATAAGCTATTCGATGTTTCCCAAAATGGGTGCTAACTCTGTTAAATGATAAATATTAGTATCAGGCAAAGGTTTGTACTTTCTGTCACAAAGAGCCATACTTTACTTTGCGATCTGTGCGCATGATTTTATTTGAAATATTGCAGGATCACGAGAAGTCAGCTGAAATAATTGAAGAAGTTTCCCCTGTTCACAACTTGAAAAGGCCTAGACTCTCTGTAGAGATACCATCGAAAGATTCGGGGAGTCCATCTATGACCATAAATATGCCTACAACACCTAGTTCTGATTCAACAAATGTAGATTTATGCAGGACATCCACACCTACTTCAGCTAAAGGCAAGCCATCAATAAAAAATCTCCTTGCAAGACTCAGCTTTAAGTCTCGTAGTTCAACAGCTGAAAGTGAGGCTTCAGGGAGTCATAACAGAAAGCCTTCAACATCGAGGTCTTTATCCTTTACTAGATTATTCATGCCAACAGTTAGCAGAACATCATCTTCACCAGTTAATCCCGTGACACTTCTGAAGAACAATTCATTACCAGGAGTTAGCACAGTGGACCAGCCAACTTCAGTGGTAGGTGATTTTGGTCTTATTACATGAACGTTCAACTATTTTATTGTGAAGACATCTATTTATTTATTTATAATGTGTTTGAGTATGAATCTGTGTCTAAAGTAGGTAATCACTTGCATATGATCTACACCGATCAAAGTATAGAGCAGGGCGATGTCTTGAATGTTTTATGTACTTGAAATAGTAACCATATGCCGTAATTATCTGGGACCAATAGGGAAACTATAAAGGGTTTGAAAGAAAACAATGCTGCCCTCTTACACTTAATGAGTCATCTTTATGTCAGCACGGTCGTTCATGGCAATCGGCATAAGGTAGCTCCTACAAGATGTTGTTCTGTTAACTGAGTAGCTCTAACCTAGAGTTTTATACCTAAGTCAAAAAAACATTGTTAGGGATCCCTGTGTTTCTCTCTTTTCTTTTTCCTTTTCTTGAGGAAAAACATCGTGTTTCCTTATTTATGGAGATATTTATGCTCGTTTAGATGGTCAGCAGATTTTAGATACATCTCATATGTATATGAGTAGATACACATTGTTCCTTCTAATGTTTGGTTACTCCGGTTGAAATGACTTAATCAACCTTGTATCTGATCTCATACAGATAAAGCACCAGAGATATTTAAGTTTACATTGTAAATTGCATTGTTTTTCCCCCTTCTCCAGGAGGGTAATAATTTAGCTTACTGGAGGAGATGCCCCTTAATAGAACTTAATTTAATGGAGATTGGATTCTGCAGCTGCCCAAAAATTTTGGATACTTCGTTGCTATTGTTGTTTTCTCAACTTGGACATGCTTTAATATGCATTTCTCACTCATACATGTAAAAATTCTATTGAATATATAACTTTAACTTTTTCAACTTCTTCTTGCTCATGAGTGGGTGGATGCACACTTGTTTATGGCTGTGTAAATCTGTAGATATTTTAGGTTTGCCCACACTTGCTGCATGCTAGAACATCTTTACATTATTGGGCATGCACATTTCTGTACCTTATTTATGGAGAATTTCATACTGTAAAGGTGTTATATTTGTTTAGGTAACTACTGATTTCTCTCACTTTATCAGAAAAAAGGAGTTCAAAAGCACATATCACGTTCGCTATCTGTACCCGTGAACACTAAATCAAGAAGTATCAAGAGAGCGGAGTCCTTGGGAAGTGGATTTCGTGTTTTTCCTTCAACTCCACGAGCAACCAACATAAATCTCTCCGTGTCAGATTCCATCAATGACCAAGATAGTGGTAAATTACCCATTCCTCTTGATCACCACATATGGCCACCTTCAGCTTAAGATTACGAGACATTGCATTATGATTTTTCTAAAAAGAAATATAAACATTAAGGAAAAAACAGAAAGGGTAACTTTCATAAAAAAAACCTGGTCGTTGGAGGCTTAGAAAAACCCTCCTGAACTTTATAAATCTTAGAAAGTCTTCCTGAACTTCTCACTTAAATATCATGACCTCCTGCGGTCACTTTAAATTGTCATATGCTCTGCATGTGAAAAATCTTACAGTCTGTTTGGGAGGTCACCTGTGGGAGGTGAAGGGAAGGGAAGATAGGAGAAGGGAGAGAAGATTTTAAAAAAATGAAAAAAAGACCCTCGTGCAACAAAATCCACACAATTTGCAGGTAAACTAAATTTTCATTGATGTCAGGGAATGT